CAAATGTGCAGATCTCACCCCAGAAGTGTGCAAGTAATTGATTCAAGGCAAGAACAAATCCTTTCTTACCTATTCCCCACTTATATTTTTAACAGCATAACCGTCAAAATGCAGCAAATCAATTTTCCCCCCTTACTGTCTCCACACTGCCTTTTCAGAGTATTTTTAGTTGCTCTGATTAAAAATTTACCTCTTAAGTACTACTGAGGACACAGTGCATTTCTTGATTACAGTTTTGTATAACTTTTTCAGCCTACCTACATATCCTCCTTGCAAAGGAAGATGTGGAGCCATATCCTTCCTTACTTCCCTTATTTAACAAAAGAGAAATTTTATTAACTAAGTTTGAAATATCGATGGGAAAATAATCTCATTTCAAAATGCAGAAAATAAGTTTTCAGAATGAAGATGTGGGGCCATCACACCTTGATTACAMAAGATACCTTACACAAGAGAAACACGGCTAAACTGAAAAAAAAAACATTTGCAGGGCTTGCCCAAAGCAAAGATAAACAGCCTCACCATTTYTGGATTATCTCTTTGGCACTGCATTGTAGGGGATTGGTACTCACCCCTGGACTCTTATCTCTCTCTCTGTCCTCTTCATCGGGGACAACTTGGGTCACAAATGTCTTGTTCTACCACATATTCTACCATTTGTGATTAATCAATATTTCCTTTACTACTTTGTCCAGGTATGCTTTTATTACCTCCCTGAAATTCTACATGTGTGCAGCCACAGTATTTATTTGAATGTCACCAAAATATAAGACACTGCTCTTCCTGGGATCCTCTGCATGGCCGCAGTTCTGATTTGCTTATTCATAGTGGGCAGAGACCTTTCTACCTTTTGACTGCTATTCAGCCACCCCTTCTTTGTGAAATCTGTTTAATTTCCAAAACTGGAGAAGTCTTGACCACTGAAAAAGAGACTACTTTCTGATTTAATTTCTGAAGGTCATTCATATTGATTAGACGGCTTAGCCAAGTTGAGTGTAGAAGGCCTAAACTTAAAGATATGRRGGATACAACAGCCATTGCAAGAAGTAAGGGAAAAACCCCTTTCTTTTCTYCCTTTAGTATCAATATAGTCCAAAACATTCTCTTTTTTCTTGCAAATGTTTGTTCACTAAAATGTTCCAAGGGGGAAAATGTCAGCTACAAATCCTCACTCATCATGTATTTGCACAGCCATGCTTAAAGGTCCTTAAAGATCTCCAAGGATTTGAAAGAAATAATTCAGTCAGGTAGCAAAACCATGCCACTCCCATCCAGTATCTTGCTACATGGCTCACGCAGCATCTGACAACTCCAGGCAAGTCACAGTGAGCTCACATCATGCACCATGCACACAGAAATAAATTCAACCAACCAAATGTATGAAACTGACAGTCTGAAGCTAATGTATCAAGCAAAAATAGCTGCAATACACAAGATGGACTGTGGAAAACATTTTGCTCACTGCAAAGGGATGYTTCTTCTCTATTCTGCTTGCCTTACAGATGGCCTAAGCCTGTTCTCGCCAAAACCACAACAGTTTCCCTCAGTTTCCTTGGCACTCAGTAAAATCACAACTTTTTCTTCTGACTGATTCTTTATATACCTGAGTAACAGGTGTGTTACAGCCATGTTTTACATTATTCATCTTGGATGAAGTTAAACCCTGTGTCACACATTGCACATTACTCAGTTTACCTCAATGTTGTGTTTTGACTTTTTGYTCAGCTAAGTTTATCTAGGATGCATTTAGGCTGGAACAGCTCTTCATTACCCCAGCACAGCAACCTGGCATCCTCCTAAYTTTGTGCTTTTCAGCAATGACTCTCCTTTCTGCTGTATCTTTTAATTGCCTGTGYTTCCCTAAAAGTTATCTAAACATTATCACATTACAAAGCAGATAATCAAGATTCAYTTGATTTACTTGATTTCAGGCATCTCTTCCTTGCTTAAACAATTACTTGTCCCATGCTTTTTGCTGCCCCCACTTTCCTTTTCTCTGTAGAGAAATACATTTTCACTGCTAATACACACCATAACTGCAATGTACTGGAGCATGGGTATCAGCCCAAAGCCCAGTGAAATCCCAAAAGGTTTCTGAACCACAGAAAAGGCAACTATGCAGCATTACATAGATAGCCTCTTTAAAGAATCTCAATTTAAAGACCTTTTTCTTTGTGATAAATTTGTTTGAGTTGTATAACATTTTCTGTTTTCCAATCTTTATAGTCCTATAAYGAAGAAAAGTAGTTTAAGAAGGAAAATAAGGCTACCCAAACTGGTATTTTTGAAGGATTAAAAAAATCTGAATTTTAAATTCTAGAAGTGATTAACTACAAGCATGAACTTAGTAAGCTGCTTGTAAGTACCTAACATCCAAAACAGCAGCACTGCAGGTTTTCCAATCCTAGACACTTTYCTCCCTTCCTCCACAGCAGATTCACAAAAAATTCAAGATAATGATTACAAGTACTAGATCTGTAACGTACAGATCCATAGCAATGCTGAGGATCTCTTATGTTAAATTCTGTGCCCAGAGGCTTTTCTGCAAACACTGAATTAAAGAAGCCACTGTATCATTCCCATAACAAGATGATTATCTAGGAATTAAGACTAAGTAGAAAACTCTTTTCAAAACGTCAGTCTTCCAAAGACTTTAGAAATCAAACAAAATTACTTATGTGGTTTACATMATCAGTTCTTGAAAGGTACGTATCTGCATGCATCCTGCTCTAAGAAGAAAGGGCAAAATAACCATTATGTTATAGTCTTTATTTATGATTCTTGGTTAGTGCAGTAGATAATCTCCTTGGTGATACTGATTTTTAATGGGACATTTTAAAAGATTTCTTTTAATGTTGMTGCAGGTGAACAAACTAAGATGACTACAAAATCACTTACCAACAATCTATTAGTGTCACCTCCCAAATTCTTCAGATATGAAGGTGAGAAATTTTTCCTGCTTATAGTGTCAAAACATATTTGGATGTCTGTTGAGTAAGGTTTTAATGGTTTTAGAGAACTAAACTAGTAAAGTCTAAAATCTGTGTGACAATTCTCTGTGACCAATCATCCATCCTGTGTATTTGCAGAAGTCACAGAGGGAACCAGAGGTGTATTCCTTGAGGAGGAACAACTGTCATCCCTGGTACATGTTCTGGATGTGTCAGAGCATATCAAAGCAGGAAATACACACAGTAGAAATGCAGAGTAGTGATTCCTGTCCCTATCTCACCACTCCACTAGTATGGAAGAAAATATTCTCAGTAAAGAAGAGAAACGAGTTGAGCCATGACTGATGGCAGTGCTGCTGGCAGGCTGTCACRGTGTATGTGGATTTCTCCAGTAAGATGCCAGGAGTAATCACAGAATAATACYGCCTCTCTTTGAGGGAGCAGGGAATAAGATTTCTCCAAACTTTCAGCCTTGGAGGAGCTGTTTGTACTACATATGGGATTTGCCCCTAAGAGACAATTTAACAGCAAAGATAATTGCTAGTTTGGTATCACCATGGAAAACGCAGGCAAAAAGTGGCAGTGAGCACAGAGGTGTTACACATATAATCACAATAAATATTCAGCATGAATGAATGGAAGGACCAGYTCCAGAAAGGGGTTCAACAACCCAATTTTCATTCTATCAGAGCCATCATGAGAGAAGACAGAAGGATATGTGTGAGAGCCTAACTGATACTATGGTTCACTCCAAGTGCCACTAAGAAATTATCCATACCTGCAACAAACTTGCTTCTGGATTTCCCTGAAAGATACAGTCTGTTGTTCTTTGCAATGAAAAGTACTCATCATCTTATCCTAACCTAGATTCCTCTTCGGCACACACCATCTTGAGTAAAGGGTTAAGATCCCTTTGCATGWTTTGCATGTGAGAACCACTCAAGAATTAATGACTCAAAGCTTTCAGATGCCCACACAAATTTCATTTGCATTTCTGTTTCTTCACACAGCAGAAACAGTCTCATATAACATCACACAAAAAGGRTAAAAAAGGAAAAAAACCCTCCAAAATAAAAAAACACTGAACCACCATGAAAACTTGGCCACAGAACAATCTGTCCATGTGGTCTGCATCACACATCAAATTCAAAAGAACAACAGGGTTAAATACCTGGATGTAGAAAGAATAAAATTGAAAAATCTATAGGTGCTGCAGAATAACATGAAGCATTTTCCTGTCATCTTCAAGGAAGGTTTATTATCTGCCTTTCTACAGCACTAAAAAAGTCTCATGATAAATTATTTTAAACCTCAGTTTTAGAAAGCTTGGTAGCCAGCAATTTTTCTACTTCTTGATGTGGAAACAGCAAAATGAAAAAGAGTGCAAATGTAATAGCTGACACTTGTCTGGTTTTGAGGCAACTGTTGTTACCAGTTGGACAAATACCCTGTRCACTCCCTGGTCAAGTCAGTGCTACTATACCCATATGATGTCCTGAAACCTGAGAGATTGCTCAACAGCATATAAATAAGTGTCAGAAAGAAAGGAACAAGGTCTTTTTTTTTTTTTTTCTCCTGCCTGTTGAACAACAAAAATAGCATTCTCTAACAAAACATTGTTAGCACTGACATTATAGGAAAGGTCTACTAGAGTGTCAGGACTMGAAGAAGAAAGGTAGAGAACAAGGAGACAAACACCAGTCATTCAGCAAAGAGCAGGACTGGAATATCAGACATGCTATGGGCAGGAGTATCACGCACTGCCAGATGTATTGAGGAAGGCAGTTGTTCACTGTTGCTAGCTGAGCACAAAGCACTGGAGTAGTCTCAATACTAGAAGCTCAGTACTAGTACAAACCTGAAAAATAGGCAGTACTTCTTTTAAATAAAAATTATTATTTTTTGCTGTAAAAAGATTTTGGAGGTAAAAAAAGGAATGAATAGAATAAAGAATGTAAGAATAAAGAACTTCTTCGCATACAGAACTAAAATATTAATAAAATACTTATACTGTGACCACAAGAAAAAGGTTTTAAAATTTTTACTTACTTTGGATGGGCAAATTCATCCAGTAGGACAACCTTTTCTATCAAGTCTCCACCAATGCTTCGAACCAAATCATAGAAATCATTCTGAGAGTATGTCCCAGAAGGCAGCCAAAAGGAGATGTCATTGATCAAAGGTGGGTATCTGCTGAGTGGCTAAAAGAAATTACAAAACATATCTTTACACATCATTTGACTTAGTAAGTATATCAACAACTGTTCTGAACTTACATAACACACAAAGTACACAGTTTAGAGGTCTTCTGAAATGTCTTTTGAAGTGCAAACTGACCTCATAAACAACTGAGATGGAAGATTTTATACTAGGAAATGTCTTTTAAAGATCCACTCATAGCAACTTTGATTTATTCATTCAGAAGAAAAAACTAGTTTTGTTTGCTAAAATCAGTGTTTATGACCCCACTGAAAACACTTCTGCATCAGAGCTGTTTGAAAAAAMGAGATAATTGTAAGGTGATTTTTTTCACTGGATAGAATTGCACTTTCTAAAAGCATTTTTCAGACTTTTTGCAGATTCAAAACTTCTTATCACATTCAGGTGTAAAACTTGTATGTATTTTATAGTCTTCTTACATTGTACAACATTTATTATTTGTACTGCCTAATTTCTAAAAAAGTCTTATCAATAGGCACGTTCTTATTAAAATGGTATAATAAGAAACACACTTTGGCTTAAAAAGAGAGTTCAGTTCACTTTCCAGTGGTTTTTCTAGACATCCAAACATCCACAACAAAAAAGGTATTGCTGTTAACATAATCATTCATTCCACAAGTACCACAACAGGCTTTTGAACACAAAAGGGCATCTTTGCTGCGGACATAAAGACCTCATCTTGTGGGCAGATACTGTAACAGGAAGAGAAAGAGAAACAAAACCAGACAAATATTAACTTCTCAGTTGTGATGAAACTTCTCTGGACTCYATGAGTTTCAGCTCTCACTTTTGGTGAGATGTGTCTTTGAAGAACAGAAAACGGTAATGCTCTCCTTTCATGACCTCTAGGTCATACAGTAGGAACTTCTGCCTTGCATTRATTCCCTGCAGTTGAAAAAAGTACTTTTGCACAAGACTGTTTGAGTCTGYAGGAGAAAACATCTTTTTTATTAAATTGTTTATAAGTATAAGAGATCCCATGTGTACTCCTTGGTCTCTACAGTATAATACCTCACTCAAAAATGTATTCCATGGCTGGGAATGTTTTATGATGGAGCAGTGGAAACCTAAGTGAGAACCTGCTAAAGCAATAAACGTTAATAAGGCAAGTTTACAGCATTCTGATTTACTCAAATACTGTTCTGTAGAGTGTAAACTAGTCAATAAATATCTGATATGGAATACATGCAAGTTTTAAATTAATAGCCCCCCCAGCAAATAAAATTGTGAGTCACAAATGATTATCGAACTTGTTAAAGGAATAAACTTGTCAAATGAATTCATATCCTGTACATCAAATTAAAAAAAGGAAACTTGCACAACAAATCCATTGTAAAAGAGCTTTTGACAAAACACTAATGAAAGAAATGGAAACATCTCTGCTGTACAAGTCACAGCTGCAAATGCTGGAGATGCTCCTCAGACAGCAACCTGATACATGTGCTAGTATAAATAAAGTTATAATCCTGCAGTAGACYCCCATATTCTCACCTCATCCTTATCTACCAATACATTTACCACTGCTAGAATCCAGGAACATACCAAACACTCTTCAAATGCTGGTGGAACAAATACAAGACTCACTGAACTGCCAGYTCAAGACTTTTAGTTATTCAACCAGAAGATGTGGCTCATGAGCCTAAGCATGACCAGGTGCCTACTTCCATTCACACTCCAGGAACGAGGACAATAAAGAAAAATAATTACATGTTCAAGTAACTCMGTAATGTAATGCTGGTTTTGGCTGGGGTAGAACTGTCTTTGGGCCAGTATGGGTCTGTATTTTGGATTTGTGCTGAACACAGGRTAGATAACACAGAGATGTTTTTTTTTATTGCTGGGCAGTGTTTGCACAGAGCCAAGGCCTTTTCTCCTTTTCATACTACTGTGCTGGTGAGGGGGGCTGGGGGTGCTTGGGAAGTTGGGAGGAGACACAGCYGGGACAGGTGACCACAACTGACCAAAGGGGTATTCCAGACCAWATGACATATACTGACATACTCAGTATATCAAGTGGGAGGAAGAAGGAGGAAGGGGGGATACRTGGAGTGACTGTTTGTCTTTCCAAGTAGCCATTGCATGTGATAGGGTCCTGCTCTCCTGGAGATGGCTGAACACCTGCCCATGGGAAGAAGTGAATWAATTTCTTTTGTGTTTGTARTTTTTCTCTCCAATGTCACTAGCCTGGATACAGAATTGTAATTTTGTCTGTGTATGCYTGTGTGTGTCACAAAGACTGGAAGGACAAATGCTTAAAACATAACATAAGCATAACTTTTTATTATTAGAAACTAACCTTTTCTCAGAGCTGTAATGCAGAAAAATCTTTTATGGTACAAGGCACGGCAATAATCCCATATTATATTGTCCCTTCACCACCTGGCTGCAGTCAATATCACTGCAGTAAGCCTTATATCAACACTGAAGTTAGTGTAAGGATAAAATTCCGAGTTCTCAAATGCATCGATCTGTTTGTTGTAGAGCTACATGAGCCACATAATAGTTTATTAGCTACACCTAAAATGTGAATAGGCTACTAAAGAGTCTCCAATTGGCAAGTCAAAATGAAGTTCCTGAATCTGTATTCAGGCACTCCAGCAAATGCATACTGTGGTCCAACAGATTTGCCTTTGCCATTCTTTGATCCTTTCTAAACTCTCCTGCTCTTTAAAAACACACTGGTCTAAAGTTCATTGACTTTGATCCTTTTCCAAGTTCCAGGCAAATGCCAACCCTGAGACCATTTCCCCATGAATTTACCGACATTTTAAAGGCTCCTCTTGAGAGCAATGTGTTCTTCCCATTAAATCTTCTACTCTGCTGAACCTACTGTTCTGATCTGCTATCACCTCCAGCCACCACTACATTATCTTCATGGCTTAGGAATGCTCCACCACAATGCTTGGAGAAGCTACCAGGACACATCTCTGTAGGCAATGTGTTGGCCAAACCCTAGCACTCTACCAAAGCCTGGAAGTCCTGCTGTTCCTCCTTCCACTCCATGATTGTCCCCTTAGGTTTTTGAGGAACTAAAAAGAGATTTAGGAAATAGTAGAACTGACCCCACCGGCAGGGCACTGGTCAAGTGTGTCAATAAGCACTGATGATGTACAGACATCTCTACGCCCCTCTTTTGGTTCCATCAGAGCTTTGCCATCACAGTGCTGCTTTCAATGTTCTGTTTATTTTCCATTTCAAACACTTCAGTGTACTATCTTTGTCATTTTTCAACAGCCTCAGAAAACAAGAACGTTTTCACAGAAATAACACTAAGTATAGGACTCCACTGAACCCATTTTGTAGGAAATATTGCAAATAATGACATCACATTTTTCAAACACCCAGGGTGAAAGCATTTAGGAGTGCTGAATTACTAAAATGTATTTAAATGATAAAATGRAAGTTCATGATAGTCCACCCTCAGTGATACATGTTTGCTAGTCATTAGTCACAACACCATCTCCTACTTACTAAAACTGCAAGCTTTTCCCTCTCAGGATGCTAACTGTAGTATAGAAATGAGTAGCTGGACACCAGTGCTATAACCTGCTCTGCCTTGCCCATGCCTAAATGTACCTGAGGAGTGCACCACTGCAAAACAAGAGGACTGTGACTCTTCTGCATGGGTTTGTGATAGTTTAGGGCATTCCTCATCCCCTCCTCTCTGCTCTGCCTTTCTGTCTGAAATTACTGCCCCTGCAGCAGCAGATAAAAGAAACTTGTGTCTGTTCTTCCTGTAGCCAGCTGAAAATTGCCCCTCTCATTGGTTTATGTTAATATGTGCTGGATGAAGAACTGYAGCAGCTCGAGTCATTGGGGAACAGCTGTCTTAAGCAGCAACAGGATCCACCAGAACTCATTTGTCAGCACAAAATAGCAAATACTTGGGCTCTGCATATGCTGCCACACCAGGGCAGTGTGTCACTACTGTGGACACTTTGGCAGCAGGAATCAGCGGTCACCATAACAGTGGTATCTGTTCATTCACACATGGCAAAGGATCACCAGTGAGGCTGGATCCAGATACTTCACAGCTGTAGAGGAGAGAAATCTCATCCGAGGGCAGAACCTCCCAATCTGGAGGAAAAGCAGCAGCAGATAATGCACAGCCAGTGCCAGCAAATAACACACACAAGGCCATGAAGTGTCTTCACCCAGAGTCCTAGAAAACAGGATGGACACCAGCACGTATTTGTCCTTAGGGAAAAAAGCCACTTTTCCCCAGATGCATTAACCATGAGTGCAACGTGGTGGGGGACAGGAGAAGTTCAGTGCTGTGGCTGTTCACCCCATTCCTTCCCTGCTGCCAGCTGCAGATGGGACAAAACAAGCGAGTGACAAAYACAGCAAGGAAAAAGCTGTACTTGTATTTTGACAGCAGCGACACAAATGCAAGGTTAATGACGACATGTACCAGAAACTGGGTTAGCAACTCCACGGCAGCCAAGCTATTAAAAAGTCAGCCATGCTTTACTGCCATCACCAGTCTAAGTCAGAAAAATACGAGACTTAGCAGCATTGTGGCTGTCAAGCTTTAACAGTCCTGCATTGCCCATGGTTTGGACAAATATCTACATAAACTACACAGTTTTAATGCAACATCATATTCTCATCAAAATGAAAACTACAGTCCTGTAATAACTAAGCCTTTCTTAATATATTCCATGGTGAAACTACATTAATTCAGTGTTATCATAGGAAATTTAAACACGTAACAGGCATGAAATTCAAATTTGCAAATTTACAACAGTAACTTACCAGCCTTGCACATAATTAAGTTTTCTGTATTAGTGTGTATGCTTCTAGATTTACACTTCTGTATTTATCACCAGCGTAGACAAATTACAGTTGCTGCAGGGAACATAACTTTGAATTTCTTGGCTGCTGTGGCTTAAAATTCAGTCACAATGTTCCCCATTATTATAAGTTTTCTACCCTCCTTACCAAATAAATTTTTTCCTTACTTATATATAGTAAGTTC